AGAGGCGTTACAAGTGCGTTACCGGCCTTTCAAGGACTAGGGATTTTAGGATTGGATTTAGGGATTGAAGAGGTTGAGGAGGGGAAATTTGGCCTTCGGCAACCTCACTCACACATCGTAAGTGTTACTTCACGTCGGTTTTCTGCTCGGTCGTTACAAGTGCGTTATCGGCCTTTTGGGGATTAAGAATTTGAGGATTGTTGGGGTTCGGGGATTGGATCTCCGGTAACCTTACTTACACGACGAAACGCAAAACAAGTGTTGCTTCACGTCAGTTTTCTGTGAAGCCGTGAAATCACTGCGGTCGAGCTGGTCCAGTCGTGCCGAAGCATGACTCTCCCACACAACAATAAATATATTCTACTTAATCCTTGTCACACACCTAATATAGTTTTTATAGAAAGCTACTTATAAAATGACAATTAAATTAACTGCTTACCCATTTTAGAGCCAGAAAAAGTGTTACCGACTTTTTAAATTTTTCTCAAGTTCTTTGGCAGTGAAGCTTATCCCCAATCTAATGGGTTTAATAACATTACTGGGGAAAACTTTAACAAGTGAAACAAGTGAATTTATTTCTGCAAATAGGCTACAAGGCAGCACTTTTACACGTCAATTTTATCAAGCGAACGATGAGGTCGATATTTCCTAACTGACTACTCTGAGAAGAAATGCCGAAACAAACTCAGAGGTCTGTCTCTTTTAAAGTCAGACTATGTATAACAGATTATGTGTGAGAACCGTGCCAGTTCTTTCTGTAGTGGCCTTTTGCGGAAAGAACACATTTAATAAATATTATGTACCTACACCTCTGCCTACCCCTTCATAGATATAAAGGCGTGACTTCACATACAGCGACATGGCAACACTACTGGCCTAATTATTCAAATAAATTCATTGGAAACAAGTAATTAGAGGCGTCAGGTATCGCAGCGCTGTACCGGCTGATGGCTATCCGTTGCTAATTATACAGGTACACTCGATAGCAACTGTGTTAGCTGACTTTAAATATTATTTTTGTGATGTGACTATTTTAGATTTATTATAATATGACGTCAGAAGTATAGGGTTTTCTAAGTTACGAAAACAGCATTCGAGGGTTTTAAAAATCGAAATTTTCTGTATGTATTTGTGAAGACTAGCTTCAGTTAAATATGGCATATTCTATAGAGAACAGTAAGCCATGTTTAAAAAATGTTTTTTAAAAGAGTAGCGATGGAGTTTCTTGCTCGTTCTTCTCCATTCGAAACTACACTTTGGGACGAGCGCCTAGCTTCACTGACAGACTGATAGACGGACAATTTAATTTATGAAGTTTCAAAAGGGCCTAATTTAGGATTAATCGAAAAAAATGCTTTGACATTGGAAAACTTTGAGTATAGATGATAGCACCTTCATAACTCATGAACTAAGTGAAGAACAGTGGGAGTCGCATACTGTCTAAAATGAAATAATTTATTGTAACACATGATAACAAAAACCTAATTCATTTGACGACTACACAATCACAAAAGTGTATAACAACGCCATCTAGCGGGCGAGAGTAAGTAACTACGTTGTCAAGATGGCCAACACTATTGATGGCGGGATTTCGCGTGGATCGTGATAAGCATGTCCCGCCCACTAGCGGAGTTAGGACCGGATTCACCGGCGTGGTAGATACCACCGACCCTCTGTGAACAAGGCAGAAAATATGCAGAGAACCTACTAGGAATTCTGTAGCAAGATTTTGTTAATTGTTTCATTATGAGGGTAAATCAAAAGTAAAGTATACGCTTGGAAAACAACGTCCATGTACAGCCATGGTTGTATAGCCATATACGTATGTACGTAAGTATCAGTAGTCTTTTTTTTGATGACGGGGGAAACCTTTAAACGGTTCGCCTAGCTTTTTGGGGATGAAAGACTATGGAGTGTGGAATTTTTACCTCACTAAAACAACCACTAAGCCACCCTCAACACCTGTATGGAGGCATAGGGTCCTCTAAAAGAGACCTGCTCTGGAGAATGCACGGTGCAACGCCTTTTACGACACGTCCCTAGTAAGACGGGCATCTCCTGTAAGCCTCGTTGTGTATGGCAGCACATGACTACTGTGCTACCGTCTTCTCTGAGACCACTGGGTGGGCACAGAGTCCCCACTCAACTTTCAGACGTCCTAACGTTCTAAAATTGTTTGTACGTAACACGTAAAGTTCAGACGTTGTTCTAACACTCATTTGTCTGTCAAAAGGGCCTACCTATAAGGAAGAAAATGTTGGTTATTGGGAAATTCAACTACCAGTGACAGTTCACTGTTGAACTACAAACCTCCTTTACATAAAGAGCCTTGCTATGGTCTCCATAATTGTGATATCCTGGTCACAGTTTAAAAGGTTCGGGTTGCTCAGACAGTGATGCTGTATCGATACTTGGGATATTCACGGAAACAGTAGAGAATTCAATAAATTAACTTTTCACTGATCATCATGGAATAAAGGTGTCAATTTTTTTGTTATATTCTGGGTAAATAATGATTGTCACGAGTGGCACTTCTACATTACCTACCCTCTGCCATGGCCCCGATCTTTATCACTCGTAATGAGAAAGATATTCGACTCGATACAGTTAATACACTCGTTTTTACTCCTAACAACTCCTTACATTTTGTTGTTCTCTCAAATTGTTATTTTAATGCAGTTTCCACTTATTTTAGAAGAGGTTTTAGCTTTCGTTCTGGTTGGTATTAGATAGATTAATGTTGGTGATTGTAAGTGGAAGGTTTCAATGCTTTGGTTACGGTTAAGTATTTTTTGGTTAATCTTTTCTTGTAATGTACTAGTGCTTGTTGTCGGTAATATAGTTTCTGGAGTTTTCCTGTCTATAAGGCTAGTCTCACTCTCTCCGCGTAGGACTTAACGGATTGCAGGGGTCCCGGCTCGAAGTGCAGGAGTGGGAACGGGGTGGTTTTTAGTCAGTAAGAGTCTAACACTCTCTCTAACGCCTCCCTGATGCGGGTGAAGTAATTCGACGATTTTCCCCGCTTAAAAAAACTATGAGTTTTTAGGACAAAAATTACCGCATAAAGTTATATTGTTATCATCATCATGAGCTAGAAAATGTTTCTATTGAATATTGATTTACCTTCTCAAGAAAGAGTTCTCACGGTTGGCGGGCTTTAAGATCTGGAATTTAAGCAGACGATCCTGTCTATTTATTGGAAGCTATAGTAGTCGCAGCTTTGGGACCTGAATCCAGATAATTATGTGTTTATCACATCACATCAACAGCCTATAAGTGGCCACTGCTGACCAAAGGCCTTTTCAAACCTTTTCCTGCTGTTTGCTCAAACCTTTCCGCGTGAGAAGAGACCACGCTTCCTCAATGCGGTTTGGTATTCTTTTTTTATGGCATAAGCCGGTAAACGAGCAGACGGACCACCTGATGAAAAGCAATCAGCGTCGCCCATGGACACCTGGAACGCCAGAGACGTTACAAGTGCCTTACCGGCCTTTTGGGGATTAGGAGTTTGAGGATTGTTGGGGATTCAGGGATTGGGGAGATTGCTTCACGTAGGTTTTCTGTGAGGCCGTGGTATCACTCCGGTCGAGCTGGCCCATTCGTGCCGAAGCATGGCTCTCCCAACTTATTTGTGATTTCAAACTTATAGTCAGAAATTATAAGTCTTAGTCTTAGACTTATAATTAGAAATTATAAGTCCGGATTTCCTTACGATGTTTTCCTTTACCGTTTGTCAGTGGTGTCTAAATAATCTTAGAAAGTACTTGTAACTCAGAAAAAGTCACATTGGTACTTGCTATTGGTAAGTTTCGAACCCGCACCCACATGCATGAGAAGCGGCCGTCTTAGACATCCGGGCTACCACGACATATATCTGTATATTTTATTTAGTGAATCTGATTTTTTTATTTAATTCACGACAGATGCGTTTCTCTTAAGTAAAATAATGAAACAATCAGTTGACAAATACGTGGTATTGTGTTAAAATTATGTCAATAATGTTTTTATACAAAAACTCGAAACAGTTACGGTTGCATCACACCAATATGTTACAGTAAAAGTTTCTGTATTTGTAACTTTTAGTATTTACTAAAATGAATTTGACAATTTTTCTTCTTGGTTGAACAGTTGCCCGGTTTTCTGACAACCAAGTGATTGCACAATAGTTTTAGAGGTTATGGTAGTGTTTTCTCAACTTGTCCAAAAGTTGGGAAAAAGAGCATCCAACCAGGCTAGGTTAAGCATACTTTTTAAGCATACCTTGGTTAAGCATACCTCGATACGTTAGGAATTTGTAGGTATTTGTTATATACCACGCCAATTTGACCTGGGCAAGATTAGGCAAAGTTATACAATGATTTTTGAAATATTTAATAACATCATGAAGTCTGAAATTGAGTATGGTGTGCGAAACTTTACATGGCTTGGCAGACACGCCTACTGAGTGGTAGACCAACGATATGTATCAGCAAGTGGAGTTGGACGAAAGTGACGAGTATAATACAGCTAAGGGCCGATTTTTCAATCATCAGTTAATTTTTAACTGTAGGATAAAATTGACACTTGACAATTTTTAGTATTGTAGAATTGTCGAATATTCAAAGTTATTGCTGAGTTAAAATTTATCTGGCGTTATAAAAATGGCTAATTTTTCCAAGGGTACCAATATTGGATTTTTTTTGAGGGAAGGCCCTTATGTTTTACTTGGATAGAAGAAGAACAGTACATATTTAACCATTAAAAGTTGCATATTGGGTAATCTTAACATTAACTATAGTCCATACTTTAGCAGTAACACGAAAAGAAATGAAGATAAAATATTTCCCCAAATACGTATGTATATCACAAGGAACTGCATTAAATAATACAGTAATGTGTGTAAATATGTTTGTTCATTGTGCATTCTCTCAATATTCACACGGCGGTTGCTATTAGTACAATCCTGCATTTCGAGGCAGTCACACGTTGCTCTCATCGAGATGGTGTCCTCTATAGGAATAATGATTTTGGCTGCTTGTGTCTTTTCTGTAAGTTCGTTTTAAATTTAATTGTAGTACTATTTTCTTTTTCTTTTTTTTTGGCATAATCCTGTAAACGAGCAGATGGATCACCTGATGGTAAGCAATCGACGTCACCAATGGACACCTGGAACACCAGAGGCGTTACAAGTGCGTTACCGGCCTTTTAGGGATTAGGAATTTGAAGATCGTTGGGGAATCGGGGATTGGGGAGGAGGGGGGGATAATTGGGCATCCGGTGACCTCACTCACACAACGAAACACAATGCAAGCGTTGCTTCACGTTGGTCTTCTGTGAGGCCGTGGTATCACTCCGGTCGAGCCGGTCCATTCGTGCCGAAGCATGGCTCTCCCATACTTAAAACTATTTTCTTATGATTTCAAAGTGAATGGTAGTTTGTTATACGTGTTTTTTTTATTTATTTCAAAAACAATTTACATTGTGTGTGAATTAAAGCTTAAAACTAATAACACAAGTAGTCCAAAAAGAAAAAAACAACACATTTCTTAAATCGAATTACAATTAAAATTGTTGCTAAGATACTGATCTCATAACGACAAAATTTATGTGACACAACTACATTAATACATTGATACACTGTTCAATAAGTATACCCAATACAATACAATATAATTATGTTTGGGATAATTATTCATTTGGAACTAGCTTCTGCTAGTGGCTTCACCCGCGTTCCCACTAGTTAAAAGTCTATGTGTTAGTCCAGATCATAATATGCCTCTGCTTCGTCAGGTGTAGCTTATTATACGGACCTTGTGGAATCTAGAAGGAATTTCCGTGCGTTTAGGCGCTTTTGCCACACCTATTATTGGAAACAAGTATAACAGCTCACACATTAGTTAGTTTTTAGTCAAATTTCCGTGGTACTTGGCGACTGGACTTCACTCAGTTGTACAGTCTCTTTTTTGTGCCTTTAGGCTTAATTCATTCTGTATCCTGCACCACCAATTCACCGAGGGAAGTGGAAACTATAGTTTTTTCTTCTTCTCCTCTTATAATACCTTCTGATTCATTTCGTTGCGGGAACTAAGACAGTTACTTATGTCGCGGAGAACCTAACGGGTAACCGGGGCTCCGGCTCGACGTGCAGGAGAAGGAACGGGGTGGTTTTTAGTCAGTAAGAATCTGACACTCCCTCCCGCCTCACCCAGGCGGGAGCAGTCATTCGATGATTTTCCCCCTAAAGAAAAAAAAAGACAATTACTTATGTCCCTGGGACACGCCGGACTTCAGTGTATCTACTGTAGATCCTGGCTTACAGGAGTTGCAGCGATTTTGAAAGGTTGTGACGGGCTTGTCCTAATAAACAAAAAAAAATAATTCTGTTCTCAATTCCAGCCGTTTTCATATGACTGAGTAACAAACAGTTGAGTTTGTGTGTTTGTGGAACCAAACCCATTCAGACACGTTTTTGCGTGATGCGTGAACATACAGACAGACAGACAGTCAGACAGACAAAAATTTTTAATCACATTTTTGAGTTCGGTGTCTATTTAGTAACACCACCCCTACTATTTTTTTTTAAATATTTTCAATGTAAAGAGTTTACACTTCTATAGTTTTATTATATGTATAGATTTTTTTATAGATTATTTCTCCACGGACTCTCGGTCCGTGCCCTTGTCATACAGTTTTTTAATTATAATACGTCTAGTCAATTTTTATAAAGTAAAGAGGGAACCTAGTTACACACTACAATTAACTACATCTATAATTATTACCAAAAGTATAGGTTACATAATAATTAGGCACTATTTATTTATTCCTATTTCAAAGGCTTTATGAAACCAGCCCACCAACAAGATGGGAGAGCCAACCTGACCCAGCAGAAGGCACCCGTTCACGAGTATGACGTGTGTGTCAGCAATTGGTCCGGTCAACCTTTTTATTGGGAATGGAACAACCCAACACACAGCGCCACCGACTGTAGGACATTTATGTGTGCATGACGCCTCAACCCTTGCCACATGGGCCGATTCCAATAAAGCGTACAATAGTCCAAAGTCAATTGGTCATATTCTATTTCTACATGTTTCTGCACACACATTTCCTCAAGTTGCATTCGTTCCATCACAAGCAACACTCCCCGCCCAAGAGAGCACCCATGACTGCCGCGTCCCTGTGTTTGATAGCCATTTTCAGGTTGTAGTCCTTAATACCTTGCTCACCCTCATCATTAGCGTATTATTATCGCATTATATGTATAGATATAGATAATAATATACGAGTTTTCAATTCCTTTTTCATCGATTTGGGATTATTTTGTACATATGTTTGCATTATTTTATACATATTTCTAATGTTTTAATAGCGACTGGTGTACTAGGGTACTCAAACCCCTAATTTAAATTTCCGAAAGATCGACAATGTACTTGTATCTCTTTTGATGTTGCTGATGTCCATAGCTGGTGCCGATTACTTACCATCAGATGCTCCGATTGCTCGTTTATCTCTCAAATAGGAAAATTTTGTTATTTTAACGTAAAGTTTCCGCGAATTAAATAAACTATTGTTAAGTTATTTTTTAACGCAAAACATTTATTCATTTATTTATTTATTTATGTACACACATACAACATAAAGGACAACACATACATAAAATTAAAGTATAAAGGTACCACCTATTCCTATTGGAATTTCTTCCTGTGGACCTTGTGGTCTTTATTTAAAAGTTGCATCCATACAAGAAAAGACTGATGACTGTTGATGAAGCGAAAGAGGTATGTAAGAATTGTGGCCATTGGCGTTCCATAGTCTCTGCCATGGGAGACAGGTGTGAGCTTTTTTTTTATAACCGATGCAACTCCTGTATATCAGGATCTAGAGTAGATAGAACCAAAGTTATGTATGTATTTTGTTTTTTAATGCCAGATTTATTTTTTCAGGAGTCTTCAGCGCGGTTACGAGTCACATTACTGAACAGAGATTACAGTTACGTACGTCCTAACGAAATTCTTATCACTCACGTAAGTTTTATCGGAAATTGCACCGCCACAGACCACACACTACACACTGTAGAACGGATTAGTGGACAGTCCATTGCTGGACTCGGGGCATCCTCCATACAATAATAGAGTTTATAGTAATCTGTCCCACCAACACGCACAAAGCGCTTCACATCAAGTTGCCTTGTGCGTACGTAAAAAAAACTGGCAACCCCAGCAAATGTAAACACAGGTTCCGTAATTGAACTTATAATTTTTTCAAAATTAAGTGTGTAAATACTGTAAAAGTAGTATCAGTGCGTTCCAAATAAGTTAATAATACAGTGATATCGTTTGCAGATGCTATAATAACTTAGACTAATATAAAACAACATTTGAGTGTTCTGAGGCACAGTGCTGATATTAATGTTTCTTAAATAATTAATAGACTAATTAGGTGGTCATGGTATAAACTGGACATTAAACAATAACATTTTCAAACGGGATTAGTAATTGTGCAGTGCTAATAAGGAAGAAAGTGTTCAGTAAAAGTATATTAATAAACTTGTGAAAACTTTACTGTTTTACCTCCATAATTTTAAAATAAAAAACGGCACTACCAACCGTTCACCGTACGCGTAGAAATTGAGCGCGTTCCAGTTCAGTCTGTGGTTCCCAGTACTGCCAACTGAATCAACACGAGCGTTCCAGGTGTGAATTTTGACTAATTATACCATTTTAGGCAGCGTTCCAGGAACGTTGTAAAAAAATTAATAGAATTTGCAACATTAACACTTACAACTTTTATTAAGTAAATTTATTGATAACAATGGATTTAAATAATATAACAATGAGGAACCGACGCTTTAGAAAATGTCTTTCGAATACCTCTCTTGAATCACTTGATTCATCATCATCTAATTTGAGCATTAAAAGTATGATGGACTTATCTACCCACATCAAGTCTGATGAAATAACGCAATTACAAAATTCAATATATAAATTGCGAGAAGAATTAGTAAGTGCTCACACTGAGATAGAACAGCTAACATTGGAAAACTCTGAAATGAAAATACAGTTGCAAAATGAAATTAAAAAATCTGAGCAACTAAGAAAAATGTGTACTACATTTAGTCATAAGAAGACTGTATCATCGTCAACCTCATTAAAGCTGAATAGGAGTCAGGCTATAAAACAGAAAATCTCCTCTAGAAAACTTAATCTTGACTTAGATTTTCATACACCCAAGCCTTCAAGAAACAACACCTCTATAGTATTTCCTGGAAGTAATGATGATCCGAAAATTACCATTAGTCAACCTAATCTCGACATGCAAAACGTCGCGAAGATTTCTCTGAACCACGATTCAAGCAAGAATACTAGCCCTAAGTCTGTATTTAGTCAACCCGATAGTAGAAAATGTCCTAAAGAAACTGGTGAAATATTCATCTTCTCAGATAATCAGGGACAAGGTATTGTACAAACATTACTAAAAAACAAGCATAAATTACTTGCTGATGATTATAAAGTACAGTCTATCACAAAACCATACGCCACAACGAAACATGTATTGGCAGGTTGTAATGATTATTGTAACAGACTTTCAAAAAAAGACCACGTAGTTATAATGACTGGGAGCAATGACTCCAACCCAATTGAAATTTTGTCTGAAATGTCTATAGCGTTACATTATTTTAATAATTGCAATGTGTATGTAGTTAATGTTTTCCATAATAATTATCTAAATGAACGTAAACTAAATGATCAGCTAAAGTTAATAACTCGAAATTATAAAAACTGTACATTTATAGAGACAAAACCACATAATGTTATACAGCAAATAATTTATCATATCAATGTAAGAGTATATAATAAAATGTTCCTGTCTTATAATGATGTCACACTTCAAAACTGTATTGACCCTAAGAAAACATTAAACAATAATCCTTATGGTAAAAAAACTGTGTCTAAGGTAGAAATAAAAAAAGGTACAATTCCTTACTACTTTCCTATCATTATAAAAAAATTGTCACAAGTTGAACCGATAGATAATGTTTCTGGTACAAAAACCCGGCCCAAAGTAAATAATTTTTTTCGTGAATAAGTCTTCGTATTCTATATTCCACCAAAATATTGCGGGTGCCCTGAATAAGATGCAGGACCTGGACGTGGCCCTGCTGGAGCTGCTCGAGCAAAAAAAAAATGTTGTAGCTGTATGTTTAAGTGAACATTTCATCAAAAAGCATGAGGAAATGTACCTCAACATAAACGGCTTCTACCTAGCTGATATTTTCTCTCGTGAAAACCAACGTCGCGGAGGTACTTGTATTCTTTGTAAAAATGATTATGAAAGTACTAGACTAGATACTATAAGAGAATTTGCAACTGAAAAACACTTTGAAATGTGTGGTATAATGATAAATAAACTTAAACTTATAATAATATGTATATACAGAACCCCAAACTCCGATGTTAACATATTTTTTGATAGTCTTGAAAAGACTCTTTCGAGACTTCACAACAAAAAACAGAATATAATTATCTGTGGAGATTTTAATATAGATTTGTTATTATCAGATAAAAATAGTACCACTTTTAAGGATCTGATGCTTAATTATGGTGTACAGCATTACATAAATGAACCCACTAGGCATAATAAATGTATAGATAATATTATTGGTAATATTGACGACTGTCTTGGCGAAACTCATAATTTTTATCTATCAGATCATAATACAGCCCAAACAGTCACAATTATTGAGCAAACTATTGATGTTAAAGGGTACTATTATGTGATTAGGGATGATCTCAGTAAGGAAAATGTAAATAAGTTTATAGATTGTATTAGTTGCTTAAGTTTTGGTGAAGTTTATGACACGTCAGATACAAATGTAGCATTTGGAAAGTTTCATGACCTGTTGATATTATTTTATAAATTATGTTTTCCGAGTATAAGAGTAAAAAAAAGATACAATTTTAATAAACCAAAATGGATAACAAGAGGAATTAAAACTAGTAGCAAAAATAAGCGGTCATTGCGATTTATCTACTACCTAAATAAAAATAACGAAAATAAAAATAGGTTTAAGACCTATTCTAAAATATTAAAAAAGTGTATGTATAATCTTCAAGCACTATGTAATCAAAGACATATAGCTCAGTCTCATAATAAAGTAAAAGCTACATGGAACGTTGTAAAGCGCAACACGGGTAAAATAAAAGGTAGAGATAGTCTGGATGTTCTTAAATATAGAAACACTATTATTGCGTCTGGCTCAGATATTGCTGATACGTTTAATACATTTTTCGTTGACGTTGCTAATAATGAAGGTTCCAATAATATTGACAATAGTAAAATAAAAATTTCCAATGTAACCTCACATGATAAAAGTATTTTTGTGGAACCTAGTGACGATGTTGAGGTCTGTCAGATAATAAGGAACTTAAAAAACACAAAATCCTGCGGGTTTGATGGTATTTCAACAGATTTAATCAAATGTATATCCCAGTATATATCACCACCACTAGCTCATATCATCAACCTATCTCTTGAACAAGGATGTTTCCCTGATAGGTTAAAAATGTCGTTAATAAAACCGTTACACAAAAAAGGTTCGAAATCTGATGTAAATAACTATAGACCTATAGCATTAACTCTAATCTTGTCGAAGGTATTCGAGAGAATTATGTATAAAAGGGTGCTTAAATATTTAAATAAGTTTAATATTCTAGCAAAGGAGCAGTATGGTTTTCAACAAAATAAATCAACAACGTTAGCTATATATACACTTGTAAGAGCAGTAATGAATAGTATTAACTCTAACACGTCTTCTTGTGCACTACTTCTGGACCTTAGTAAGGCGTTTGATCTAGTAAATCATCCAATATTGATTGAGAAAATGGAAAGATATGGTATCAGAGGTTCAGCTCAAAAATGGTTCGAATCATATTTAAGTAATAGGAAACAGATAACCAGAATTACAAAATTTAATGAGATAAGTAACACATTAGAAATATTTGATTCTAAACCACTCATAAATCGATGCGGTGTACCGCAGGGGAGTATTTTGGGACCATTATTATTCTTAATTTATGTAAATGATTTACCACAAGCAATTAAACATCAGTGTGTTCTATTTGCGGATGACACCACAGTAATCATAGAAACCAAAAATCCACAAAACTATGATACCATTATAAATGAGTCAATTAAAGATATTACTAATTGGTTAGACATTAACAAACTAAGAATAAATGTAACGAAAACGAATGTATTAAAATTTAAAACTTGGAAAAGTAAACACATACATTTAAATATTGCATATGATGGTAAAATGATTGAACAGGTTCACAGTGCAAGGTTTCTAGGGGTTATTCTTGATGAACACCTTACATGGAAAATCCATATAGATAATATTTGTAATAAGATTAATAAGTTTATCTTTGCTTTAAGAAAGGTTAAAGACGTTACATCAAGGTATACGGCTATTCTTGTTTATCATGCGTATGTTTGTTCAATAATTCGTTATGGAATAATTGTTTGGGGAAATTCTACGGATATTTCTAGAGTGTTTATAGCGCAGAAAAAATGCATTCGTGCAATATTTAATTTGAAATGGTCTGAATCCTGTAGGCCTGTATTTCAGTCTAATAAGCTGTTAACTGTCCCGTCCATTTATATTTATGAAATTGCTAAATTCATAAGAACCAATCCTTCGCTTTTTCAAGTTAAAGATAATGTAAATAAGAGAAAAGCAACATGCGTACTTCTTCAAGTGCCTTCGCCTAGATTGGAGTTATTTAGACGGAATTGTGTTTATATGGCTCCTCTAATTTATAATACGTTGCCTAAATCTATAACTGAACTTCCGTATAAGAAATTTTGTAATGTATTAAAGCAATGGCTAATTAAAGAAAATTACTACTCAATCCACGAATTTTTAGAAAAAAACAAATGTAAATCTTTTAGTTTTAAAGAAAGAAATAAATAAGAGCAGTAAGTGTACTTAGTTTATGAACCAAAATTGTAGCCTTCATGTATTTTATTTTAATCTACAGTAAACATCAAATGTAACCAATTTGCATGCCAATAATGGTAAATGTGCTGATCTAATATTGTATGTAACATCTATATCATGTACCACATTGAGCAAATAAAGAATTATTATTATTATTATTATTATACTGCTAAGGAGTGGAATTCTTTGCCAGAGTCTGTATTTCCTGAAGGGGGTGTAACTTGGGTGTCTTCAAGGCCCGATTGAATAGGTTGCTTATGGGACGACGTGCTCCATCGTAGACCGCATCATCGTTTACCACTAGGAGCTGTAGCCAAATGCCATTTAGCTCTTGTCTACATGTAGAATAGAAAACCAAATTTTATGGGATTGACGTAAATTTTGACACTTGTCAGTGTCATCCCCAAACATTTTGATTTCTACTCTCTCTGTAGACAAGCGCTAAAGTGGCGTTTGGCTAAAGGCCCAGGCGAGATAATGGTCAAATGTTGGACATCAAATATAAAAAGAAATCTCTAGGCTTTGTGGTTGGGTTAGAGATCGTAGTTAGATTCAGGTTTATCAGAGAGCACTTTTTTTCCCTTCCTTTTGTAGAAACGTGGCTACACGGTTAGTTTTTCCCCTGTATCGTGGGTGTTGGATACACAAAGTTATTAGTGTTTTGTAGGTATATTAGTAAAAGGTAGATAATATATTATTTTGTGATACTCTTTGTCTTTTTGTCTCTTTGTTTCGGGTTCAATATCCGCGTCGGGCAAAGTATTACTAGGTTTTTTAAAAAATCTGGAATTGTGCCCGGTATATAGCATTAGGCTCACCCCCTATTACATGGGACTCGCACCATAAACATGAAAAGTGGGTGTTACATTGTACAGTGTTCTGTCTTCGGGGATAAAAAGCGTGATTATAGTTTTCTTCACATACAATTTCACTCACCCATGACACCTAGACTCGAAACAATAATTTGTGGATCACACAAAGAGTTGCATGGACACACACGCGGTAGCCGGTTGTATACCCACCGCACCAATCATGTAGTCAAGTACATAATCACTTTTGTCTACTTTCTATCAAATGTGTAGTCTCTTAGTCAGTTGTAAGATCCCTTTTTTGAATAAAATCATCTAATGACTTTCTCGTCTTGGGTGAGGCGAGAGTGAGTATCAGGTTCTTACTGATCAAACCACCCCGTTTCTCCTGATTACCACCGGTGCCCCGGTAACCCGTTAGGTTGTCCGCAGCTCCGGAATTGCGAGATGTGTAGGTATAGTGACAAGTAGGTTCTTGGCAACTAATTAAATTCAATACTGGACTATCGAACTATCAAAAACAGTTATTGTGTATTGTGACGTCATCATGACGACACCGTCGTTTTTTTTAGCGTCAAACAGCATACTTATTTCTTGAAAATTTGCTGGAAAGAAAATAAAATTAAGTTGATCATGAAATCAATTAAAGAAAGTACGATATTTGTAAATATTTTATTGTATTGATTGAACTGTCGAAATAGTTTATTTTTCATTAAGTACAGTACCCAATTGTATGGTACACACATGTCCTTGAACCTACATATTATATTAATGCGTTTATAAATACAATTTCCAGATAAAAAGGCTTCTAGATCGCATGACAGATTTGCAAGTAACAGTGCCTCCACGCATACGTCACTTATATGAGTTGCTGAAGAAAGACTTCAAGCAAGGACCTGAGTATGGACAGATGCACCATATATTGGACTTCAACAAGACATTGCCTCCAAGATATGATGTCAACAAGTTGAATAGGATCTACACAACGCCTATAACGCAGTATAAGAAGTAGTATGGTCATCTAAGACAAGCTCGTATTCCTAAAATGTTATGTTCAGAATTTGTGAGTGACAGGGATGAGTGTTTTATTGGTGAGAAGAATGTTATTTTTTTTAATGAAATTATTGTTTTTTGTTAAGAGTATATTTTGAGGCTTTATTAGATTTTATCTAGAAAAAAGTTGTCATAGGGAAGGGAATGTTTTATGGTGACAATAATCAATTTTTGTGAAGGGAACATATGTTTTTGTAATAACTATAGTGAGACATACTAAATTAACTAAAATCGCGGGTTTCTTACGTAAATATACTGAGAAAAGCTCTACTAGTTTCGAACCACAGAGGGGTTCTTCCTCATGAGCAGCGTGCTCACTGGCTGGCGTTGGCGCTCGCCTCGGTGTTGTGGTTCGAAACTAATAGAGCTTTTCTCAGGATATTCACGTGAGTAGCCCGTCGATTTTAGAAGGGACCATATGTTTTATAGACAAAGAAAAAGTAATTAGTGAGTAAAAGTATTATCTACACTAATCTAATAGTGTTCGTCCTCCGTGAAGTATCATTTTGTGTATATGGGTATAAACAAGTGCTTATATTAAGTACTATGGATTGGTGTTATCATTACGAGCGACTTTATTGTACACAAATTTTTAAATTATTTTTTTTTTGAGATGTAGGTCCTTATTTAAAAATAAATACGAAAACTTAAGTTGTTAAACCTATTGTACTTGTGTTTTACTTTGAAATACCAGATGCGCATATTATTATTTGTTTTCAGGTATTCACTTATTCTCGAAATTATTATAATTGCGGTAATTATGAGGTTCACTGGCCTAAACTACTAGTGAAGTTCATGGGGTTGTTTCTTGTTCAGTGGTTTCTTCTTGCAAAAACTTCCTGACAATACGACAGGTATTCAGAATTCCAGCCTTCTGCATGTTGTGACTTGGATCCCATGATGCAAATTTTTAGGGATGACTTCGGTACTGAAAAGTACCAACGACACAATATAAACTTTATTTGTATTATAACTTTCGTGAGACATACTAAATTCAGACTCGAGTAGCCAGTAACAGCGCGACAGTCGCCGCGTCGCGGGTCGCGAAATGCTGCTCATGAATATGAGCCTCTAGTATGGCTTGAAACTAGTCGAGATCCTCGTCAAATAATTACGTGAGTTAGCCGAAAAAATAATAATATTAACTTTATTCATTTTCCAGATTCTAATTATTTCTTTTTTATTATTATTATCTTTGGCACGTTTCTGACCACCGCTGAACATCCAACCCCACCTTCTTTATTCCCTATAATCAGTGCTCTGTACTTTATTAAAGGTCTCTAAACACAGGGCCGTCTCACTCGACGGGACGGTAACCGACGGCTCTGCGTTGCGTCATCAGTAATATCTAGTAGGTACATTACAACTGCTCAGTGTCACGTCGCCGTCCCGTCCCGCCGCGCCGCGCCCTCTGTGTCCAAAGACCTTAAAACTTTACTTGAACCAACCACTGCCATGCCACCAACGGCAAGTACCAATGTGACTTTTTCCGAGTTATATGTACTTTCTAAGATTATCTAGACACCACTGACAAACGATGACGGAAAACATCGTGAGGACACCTGGGCTTATAATTTCTAATTATAAGTTTGTAATCGCCAACCCGCATTGAGCAAGCGTGGTGATTAATGCTCAAATCTTCTCCGTGTGAGAAGAGGCTTTGCTCAGCTGTGGGCATTTATAGGCTGTTGATGATGAACCACTGCCATTATAAATGGTGCATTGATCTCACCTTTTTGCGTCGTTCTTATAATATATAATTATTACAAAGGTCTATTCATGTCAGCTTGAATCATACTATTCCTCAAAGGGGGTAGGCAGAGATACAGTAGTACCCACACACATTGGTGGTACAATGATAATAACAATTACATGACACGCATCTGTTTTCCCTTCTCTCGTAAACCATGATGTAATGTTTTATAAAAGAAAATAAAAGAAATTTAACAAAATAAAGGTACGTGCCACACATCGACCTATACAAAACCAGTTTAACATGGTCTGGCTTTGTACGATCTTTTCATACATTCAACGGCCAGTTTAGACTGGTTCGTGTAGCTTGATGAGAAGTGATGGGTACAATGGGTGTTATCGCAAACGACGATATCTTTTAACAAAGGGCCGCGGTAACAATAGAACCTTTGTCATAGTAAATATTTAAAAAAGAATAAATAAATATGATAATAACGTTGTGTTATACCTGTTGTTTGATAAGGAGGTCGGTAGAGATGTTGTTCAAGATTAAATTTGTGAACTTTTTAATTATAATAATTTCTGGTGTATACCTAATAGGGTAGTATGCTAAATTTTATTTTTATGTCCGCCTGGTATATAATTTTAAAACATTAGACACGTATTTATTCTTCTCTTACAAAGTTAAATATGTACCTACTTTAGTTTAGACGATATATTTATTTATTTGAAACCTTACCTAAAACTATCATTACAGTTTTCTCCATTGCGAATTTTTTTTTAAGGGGGGAAAATCATCGAATGACTGCTCCCGCCTGGGTGAGGCGGGAGGGAGTGTCAGACTCTTACTGACTAAAAACCACCCCGTTCCCTATCCTGCACGTCGAGCCGGAGCCCCGGTTATCCGTTAGGTTCTCTGCGACTCCGAATCGGCATCGGCCGTATTTTGTCCCATCTGTGGTGGTCTGATGGCTCTTTGAGGTGCGCGGCTAGCTTAGGTCTAAAACTAAATCTATGTACCTAATTACTAATTTAAAACAAGACAAAACAAAATCACAAAGAGAGAATACACAAACTTAACTATTGACTAAAACTAATGATATTGATTTGAAATATCGTGTGACGTCACAATTTACTACATTTTATAGGGTACCGTGACGTAATGACCTCCTACTCCTAAACTTAACTCCGTTTTATTTAAGTATTGTTTTCTTATAGGTACGACAAAATAAAAAAAATAACTATGTGTCCAACATTTTTTCATTATCTAACTGACGGACTAATTACATTTTTAATTTTCATACTCTGTCTACTGACCATTTATAATATTATGTTCACGCCCGCACAAATACTTTCACTTCACCACTTATGTTATGTGTCCCTGGTGTGTGGTGATTCTGCAGGCAGTGCAGGAACCCCCCCCACCCCCCGTCGTCACGTGGGAAGTTCCATGAGGATTTCTATCGCGATAGAACAAAAAATAGGGGGTAAGCATGTTACTAAACATCGGACACTGAATCAGGTGACCAGACAAGCTCTAAACTATAGCCATTACAAAGAACTTGACACTAATAATCATGCTTTATCCAGGAATCGAACCCGATACCTATTGCTTATAGTCCTCAAGGTTATTTTCTTTTTCAATCTCTTTGACTGGATTTAAGTTTTGTTCTTACAAAATCGAACCAACAAACTATGTATCTAGAGAATTGTATTGTGAACCCGATTGAAAAAGAGTAACCTATGGAGTTTATTGCTCGTTCTTCTCCATAGGAATCTACACCTTGGAATGAGCAACTAGCTTCACTTCTAAATGTTTGTTGTTGACGTTCAAAAGTGCCTTCCTGGTCTAATTGAAAGAAATGAAAAAAAATGTAGTCACTCTTACATTCATACTGCAGTAGATAAATCAATTTAACAAAGAAATGAAAAGTCACAGCTCACATTACCTGAACTCAATTAATCCACTGGATTCACCTGCAACAATGCACTAAGACAATTACAGTATCAATGCACCAATTGTACACACAATACTACAATCCCTGATCCCTGATCACCACTATCAAAGTCGACAAATTGGAGCTAAATTGTCGATAAATCGTAGCCAATGTTACTAGACATGGTTGCACATGAGACTATAAAAACCAGTATAAACTGACCCTTGAATATGCGGAGAGGTCATATAAAGCGAGGTCATGATACACTGGTTTGTATACGTTGATGCGTGGTCGTGTGTACATCTCTAGTTGCCAACATGTCAGTTGACAGTATCGATGTCTGCTCTACTCTATTGTTAGTTGTCGGCCATTGAATGACGTCACACAAGAGTCTAATGTACCTACTAGCAACGTCCGATTCAAATGCAGAACAAGATATACCTAAATTGTGTTTTGTTTAAGGGAAATTTTACTTTATTGCCTTAGAGTGAAGTTTTATATTTAAATAAGTTTGATAGGTTAGTGTTATGTGCTGGTATGTCAATGTGCTGTTCTTCGAAGGGATACATTGAGGTGAATTTATAGGAGACTAACTTTTAACTTATGTGAAGGGTTAGGTTAGCATTTTTTTTAAGGGGGGAAAATCATCGAATGGCTTCTCCCGCCTGGGTGAGGCGGGAGGGACTGTCATGCTCTTACTGACTAAAAACCACCTCGTTCCTACTTTTGCACGTCGAACGTCGCACTTCGGGCCGGAGCCCCGGTAACCCGTTAAGTTCTCCGTATCGGCATCAGCCCTATTGGGCCCCATCCGTGGTGGTCTGATAACTCTTTGAGGCGAGCGTAGAACGCGACGCGCCCCACGCTCGGGTCAGGACTTCTGATTTTTTTATTCCCCAAGTGACACGCAGAGGTACACAATGCAACACCGTCTTTTTATGTGTTTCTTGTAATAGACGGTCAATCAATTTCCATTTATACACGGCACAATTCCAAGCCCCATGATTAAAAAACTGAATGAAAAACCGAAATATTTAATAACACTTTATCCTACCCGGGAATTTGGAACATATCGCCTGTCACCACTATTACAGTTCCGTTTACGGTCGAACTAAGATCTTTCTAGCAACATTTCACTGAGTCGATCTTCAGTTCTTTGTATTCAACCACTTCGAGGATATCGTTGCTCCACCTAAGTAGAAGGTACTGTTGATTATGATTACTTGTATGTGATTAAAACATAACCTCCTTGTCCCATTTGATGAATAAAAGGTATATAATATAATATTTTTCACCTAATGCAACTCTCTCCTGCTTTCATTACTCCCTCAATCCCTTCAAAACGATGTTTTATGCAAATCTTCTCATTTTCACTGAATAACGACACATGTCAGCTGTTTTAATTTATACAAACGAGAACCTCTATATGAGAATGCAAAAAGAGCTTCTTGAAATAATCTTGAATATGTATTAAGTACTATTGAATAATTTATACGGTAGCAAGGATTAAATTCGGATGGTTTCGTGTGCATTCGTGTGTTCTCGGAATTTCTCGGGTCGTGTCGGGGCTGTTCGGTAGTTTTCGGATGAGTGGAGACGTTTGGATCAAATAGGTGAAGTGGAAAATATTTGAAATGTTTTAGATGTGTGAGAATAGGGATAGAGGTAAGTCTGTTGATAATTAATTTCGTCACTGATTTTATAATTTTGTTTCGAGATGGTGTTGTAGGATTTTTGGATGAGCCATTCATACTTTGGTGCGAATAGACCGGCTTGACCAAAGTGATATCACGGCCTTATAGGAAACTGATGTGAAACGAAATGCTTACGTTGTATTTCGTCGTGTGAGTGAGGTTACTGGAGGCCCAATTTCCCTAATCCCTAGATCCTAACAATTCTTAAATTCCTAACCCCTAAAAGGCCTACAACGTACTTGTAACGCCTCTGGTGGTCCGGGTGTCCATGAGGGACGCCAATTTCTTACCATCAGATGAGCCGTTGGCTCGAATACCGGATTAATCTTTTTAAAAAATCGTAATTATTAGTTCTAATTTAGACAAGAGCGATTGTTATATATTTAATACAACTTCACATTTAATTTCAAAGTTTAAGTATCTTAATGTTTATTCGTTTAATTGTTAGTTAAAAATCTTGAAATAAAAGAAATCCAATAGCGTATAAAATTTTGTTTAATGATAAAAAATCTGTAATTACTTAACAAGAAAAACACACCTATATTTTTAACAAAATACAAGATACAGAAAAGTAGAAATTTGAATAGCACCAATAAATCTTCAATGACAATAAGACTTACTGTTAATGAACGTAGAAATGAGAACTGAAATAACTAAATTTAGTTGGTCCCAAAATACATCCCTGAGGAACTCCTTTAAAAGACTTAAGTTATTTGAAAAAGGTGTAAAGCAGGAAGATTTAAGGAAGCTAAAACGTCTTGTAGTTAAGGTGAATTTGGAATTAGTCCTGATCTAGGTGAATATAGAGGATCATAGCAGGAACATTCTCCTTTGCCCTTGTTATTTAGACACACACAGATTTGATTAGGTTTTCCTTTACCCTTGCAATCTTCATTCTTGAGGCATCCTGAAAAGTAACAATATTTTTATTACAAGTTACATAACATCACGCCTTTTATCCTCAAAGGCAGAGGTGCACATTATGCCACTGTACAATGTAACACCCACTTTTAACTATTTATGTTATGAGTCCCATGTAATAGGTGGCGAGCCTATTGCCATATACCGGGCACAGTTCCAAACTCCGTGTTACTACTGAGATTTTTTTTTAAACCCAGTAATACTGCCCAGTAATATGCCCGACCCGGGAATCGAATCCGGGACCCCTTGCCCGGCAGTCGCACTTGCGACCACTCTGCCATCGAGGCAGTTACGATAATAATTGAGTTAATCATAAGTTTGAAATCGTCAACCTGCAATGAGCAAGCGTGGTGATTAATGCTCAAACCTTCTCCGTATGAGAAAAGGCTCACCAGTGGGCACTTATAGGCTGTTGATGATGATAACGATTTTTTTTTGTAAAGTTAGTTAAAAGCACTTAACAATTTTATATTTACCCAAATCCACACTGCAGTAACATTTTCCGTAGTATGCGCCTCCTTTATAGCAGATACAGGAGTCACCATACAATAGGGAGCATTGTTTGTCGAAGAGGCATTCTGTAAACAAATTATTTACCTATATTAAATTATAAGTAGGTATTAGGCTATACTACTAATTACCAGAAAGCCAATCTTCTCTCTGGCAATGCAATGCAATTGGGACTAGGCCGCCAAACAAGGTGAACCTCCCAAAATCGCTGCAACTCCTATAAGCCAAAATCTAAAGCAGATGCAACCATGAAAACACCGAGACACTGATGTCCGGTAATTTAACAAAATAAATGAAGAGATACAAAGTCAAAGTCAAAGTCAAAATCATTTATTTCAATTAGACCAGGAAGGCACTTTTGAACGTCAAAACAAAATATTTAAATATTAAATAAGAAGGAAAAAAACGGCACTAAACATAAAAGCACAACCGGGTAGTTACATATTATCTATATATATGTATATATAAATGAAACCCGTTTCCCGTTGTCACGCCATAACTTGTGAATGGCTAGACCGATTTAGCTGATTACTGATTTTTTTTGTTGTATGTGTTATTGTCAGGAGAAATTTTTTATGACAGAAAAAAAATCCTGAAATCCTACGGGAACGGAAGAAAACGGAATTGCGCGTACGAAGTCGCGGGCAGAAGCTAATATTGTATGATTTCCCCTTACATTATACAGAAGAAAAAAAGCAACCTTTATATCATAAAAAAGCACATATAATATACATACTATTATTATCGTTGTGGTTAACTCCGAAGCTGACGCTAACTAGGCAACAGAACAATACAAGACTGAAGTACTGCATTTTAAGCTGAAACACCGGCACTCAATACATTGAATGTTAAATACACTGAAATTACCGCTGTTTATATATTATTAAAAGTAAATCAATTATATCTGTGTCAAAATGCAATTGGTGCGGTTTGTTGTTCACTTTTAATCTTATACGCTTATCTTATTACTTTTTTATTGTAACATAATAACATCACGCCTTTTATCCCCGAAGGGATAGCCAGAGGTGCACATTTCGACACTTAATGCCACTGTACAATGTAACACCCACTTTTCACTATTTATGTTATGAGTCCCATGTTATAGGGGGTGAGCCCATTGCCATATACCGGGCACATTTCCAGACTCCGTGGTACTACTGAGATTTTTTAAAAAATCCAATAATGATTTGCCCGACCCGGGAATCGAACCCCTTGCCCGGCAGTCGCACTTGCGACCACTCGGCCAACGAGCAGCATTTTTTATTGGAATAGTGTTAATATACAACATAATTTATAATTTTATTTTAATAGAGGTATATATTTATTTTTTGTTATATAAAGCTGAAGGGTTTGTCTGTTTGAATGTCCTTATCTCCGTAACTACTGGTCTGATTTGAATAAGATTTTTGTGTTAAATAGTCTATTCGTAGAGTAAGGTATAAAACCTTACGCTACGATACGACTTATAGAAGCCGAGCAGCGAGTGTATTACGATCTCTAAGCCGATTTGAATGCCATTAGGTACGTATTATTTAGTTTGACACTCGAGAAAATACGTGGGATAGTTTTTACCCAATAAATATAACTAAGTACGGAATCGATTTTGATGACACTTGTTACAGCCATAATATGTCTCGGAAAAGACTAATTCAAAAACCAAATTCTGCCAGAAATCATTATTATACGCAGACAAAGTCGCAGGCAACAGCTAGTTAAAACTAAAATTAATTAAAAAGGTACTGAGGACACGGCTATTGACATTGATTCATTAATCAATTGATAATGGAGTCCAACGTTTTATTAACTTGAAATAATTAAAAAGAAGAACTTAAAAATAATAAACACGTGCTACCTTGAGTATAAATAAATTTAACATCACACAGTCCACTTTACATCATTGTAAATCGAGCCGTCTTCACGTCGAACTGTTCAAAAACGAGTTCCAATTCAACATTATTTTTTATCCCGAAATCAATTTAAGTTTCGCATTACGTTCTGTACATACACATTAGTCGCCACAAATATCGACATAGTATATCGATAAAGAACGTCTCTAGTACCGATATCTATCGTAATAGAGAGGGCCATTTGTCTTGTAAAAAAGCGAATTGTTCGGAGTTTCCTATCACAAACCTTAAGATGATATTTATGAGAAAGAATGAATTTGTTATAAACCCCGGTGCATACTAGAGAGAATTCTGTTCGGTAGGACTTTCAAGTATTTTTTTTAGTGATTTTGTTAAGATCCATAGCTATGGACCTCCATAGTTGATAATTATGAGTCTGAAATCTGGAAATCATCTATACCCAAAACCGTAAGTTGATTTTTTTAAGGTTTACGCCGGTAACCGAGCTGTTGGTTCACCTGATTGAACACCAAAGAGTGCGTTACCGGCCTTTTAGGAATTAGGAATATGAGAATTGCTGTGGATTCTGGGATTCGGGAAGGGCGGAGGGGCGGTAATTGGTCCTCCGGTAACCTTACTCACACGACGAAACATAACGAAAGCATTGTTTCACGTCGGTTTTCTGTGTGGCCGTGGTATCACACCGATCGAGCCGGCTCGTTCGTGCCGAAGCATGGCTCTCTCAAGCTTAAATAAAAATAAATTAAATACTTAAATCGATAAAAAATACCATATCTTTTTCTATATCACGCTTTTTAACTTCTGAAAGAGGGGATAAAAACGCGAAGAGTTGAAGATCAAGCATGGTAACATGCTCACGAGCCGCTTATAAAGCAGGCGCTTATGTCTAGCTGTAGATAGAACCGTACAGATCAAGATGATATGATTCATCATCAGCTGGAATACGTAGACTGTTCAATAAAGGCTTATCTCTCTCTTAGCATAACTTGGAAATCTTGGTAGGGTCACTGAACGTTTAGAAGAGTTTGCTGCTGTTTGAATATCAAGCTCCAGGTGTGTTGCTGGTGGTCTTGAATAATAAAAGACTTCGGTATGATGAGAATACTATATTTAAATAGGTACTGATTATAAGGGTCAACCGATATGTGAGGACGGCGTCGTGTCGGGCGAGCGAGTGAATGAATGACCGCTGATCGCAGCAGTCGCGGGCCACGTATGGTGGTGAGCCCGATGTGACGTCAGGAACAGCTGCTCATCTTTTTTATACTTATACAGTGTAACGTTTAGCCACCATCTCGCCTGGTGCTAAGCGATGGTGTGGTCGACGTTGTAGCAACCTGTTCACTCGGGACTCGAAGACACCCAAGTAGTATTTTTCAGGAGCCTGTTCACTCGGTACTGGAAGACACCCAAGTTATATTAAGGTACCTATTTCTCTGCGTGTGATGTAGTCTTAGGCCATATACGAGTCCATAGATCCGAATCCACTGCCTCGTTGACCGAGTGGTCGCAAGTGCAACTGCAGGCCAAGGGGTCTCGGGTTCGATTCCCGTGTCGGGCAAAGTAATACTGGGTTTTTAAAAAATTCTCAGTAGTAGCACGGAGTCTAGAATTGGGCCCGGTTCACCCCGGTTCAAAAGGCCAGGCTCACCCCCTATTACGTGGGACTCGTAACATAAATAGTGAAAAGTGGGTGTTATATTGTACAGTGGTTTTCACCAACGTAAAGTTGTCGTGTACTTAGTGCCAGCAACTTGTTCGGTTTTTTGCTTAAAAAAATACTTTCAAAGGAGTCAGTCATACGGCTTCATATTTTTAATTTTGTAGTAGACATTTTTACAGCGAATAATATAAAAAAAGTAATAAAGTTTAGTAGTAGTGTTTTCGTTATTTTAAAGTGTGATAGCTAGGTTTTTTTATGGAATAGGAGGTAAATGAGAAGAAGGATCACCTGATGGTAAGCGATCAGCGCTGCCCATGGACACCCGCAACACCAGAGGAGTCACAGGTGCATTGCCAGCCTTTTAAAAAGGTATGCCCTAGTAAATATTCCTTGGCATTTTTTCTGCTTATAATAGAGTGGAATGCAAATGCTACTATCGAGTTGTTCAGCAGGCTGAGGAGATGTCTCATGTAATTGCCTAGAACTATATACCAACAATACTTCTTCTGAGCCAGGAATTGAACCGATAGTCGAGAAATAATATTCTATCAAGAAGTGCGGGTCGCTAGTTTTTATAAAAGTAGATAGGGGACAATCTTCAGGACACAGAACTCAATTCCAATTGCATTTAGAATGTCGAGTAGTTTTACCCGACCCGGGATTGATCCTATAATTTTCTGCTCAATTTTACTAGGTACAAATATAGTTTCAGCGAGAATTCCCTGGAATAAAAGAAATGAACTTAATGAAGTAATTTCTTAGATTCCTATTTTTATGTTACCTACTTTAAAATGCATTTTCGTATGAAATGGATAATAATATTTGAATCAAGCAGATTTTGTGGTAATAATAATAGCATTTGTTACATTTTGGTTGATGGGTTGGGCAAAGCACGATAATAATTATTGAGTGTTTTGATTTTTGTGTTGTGATTTGGTTTTTCTGTACTGTGTGATTAGTCATTGTGTAATATTTATCGTGTGAATTAAATAAGCTAGTCAGAAACACACTCATATATTTTTAAAAGCAAAAGAATAATATAAACAGGTTTCCCTCTTGAAAGTGGCCAGCTTGCCACGGATAACATAAACATATATAACAGATTTCAAATGTGAAAGAACCCTGCTTCGGCACGAATGAGTTGGCTCGACCGGATTGATGCCACCGCTTCACAGAAAACCAACGTGAAACAACGCTTGCATTGTGTTTCGTCGTGTGAGTGAGGTGACCGGAGGCCCAATTATCCCCCCCACTACCCAATCTCCCGAATCCCTGAATCCCCAACAATCCTAATTCCTAAATCCCCGGTAACGCACTTGTAACGCTTCTGGTGTTCCGGGTATCCATGGGCGACGCCGATTGCTTACCATCAGGTGATCCGTCTGCTCGTTTACCGGCTTATCCCATAAAAACAAAAACAATCTTAAAATTCTTTATTAATCGTTTAGGCAATTGGTTTAACTCGTCGAGTACCGTCATTATAGACACAATTATAGAACAATAGGTTGCGGTCACCGGTGACCGCTTGGTGTTTGACAGTTTAAAGGTACACCTTAGAAATGTCGCTGGATGCAGGTTTCTTCCAATCAGCCGACCGGGGAATCATTGGCGGAGATGGTAGTATTGTTTTGTCAGAACTGTGCGTGTAATATTAGTTTTATAGAGGGGCAGTTGTGGCTTCACCGGTTTTGCATACATTTTTGACTCCACACCATACGTCCTTCGGTGTCGCGGAGAACCTAACGGGTAACCGGAGCTCCGGTTCGACGTGCAGGAGAAGGAACGGGGTGGTTTTTAGTCAGTAAGAGTCTGACACTCCCTGGCGCCTCACCCAGGCGGGAGCAGACATTCGATGATTTCCCCCCTTAAAAAAATATTACCTCCTTCTGTATTATATCTATGGGCGGAGGCGTATGTTCAGCAGTGGACGAATTATATGATGATAATGACTTTAGTTCTTTTTTTCCCTCCATTGTGTCCTAAACCTTCTGATTGTTAACGATGCATTTGTTTGTAAAGGCAGATTCATGTGATGTGTTCTACTAACGGTGGTTTTATCTAAACGGCCCATTGCTCGGCTTCGACACACATTCGACCCCGCCATGTTTGGATTTTGTATGTGTGTGTGTGTGTGTTATGTGTAGACTGTTTTATTATGTTGTGTTGATGGTTCAAATAAATATGTTTCATTGTGAATTAGGTTAAACTGTCAACCACCAAGTGGTCACCGGTGACCGCAACCTATTGTTCTATAATTGTGTCTATAATGACGGTACTCGACGAGTTAAATGTAGATTTTCA